AAGTAAAGGTAAAGGAAGCTATGGCAGCAAAGACCATAACTGCTATCTAGTGAAGTCAGATATGCAAATCAGACAGAGACCTAGCAAGGATCGGGGAAGAAGGGGTAGGTGGGGGAGCTCTAGTAACCTCATCAGTGAAAATCTGATCAATGAAAATTGCAGAACACTGAGTCAATGCTCCTAAAGCTATCATAGGAGAAGGATTGGGCTGCTGACCCTAGTATGAAACACGCAAATATGAATCAGTGGCCATGTATGCTAACAGGTTATTGCTTAAAGAGATACAGAATTTATGGAAGGCTGGATTGAAAAGTATTTTGGGATTATGTACAACTTATTATGGCTTGTTTAAAAGAAACTATTTAAAGTCAGGATCAGAGTGGCTATAAAGAAGAAACAGACATGGGTAAATGAATAGCAGTTAAGACAGGTTGGTGATGCACAGACACGGTATCAGTAAGTGTGCTTGTCTGACTGACCCATTTTCTTCATAACTTGTCCTATCCTCTCACTAAATCCCTTTTCTAACTGTGCTACAGGTCTGTGTGCATAAACACTGCTGAACATGAAGCCAACCTAGTGGCGAGGTGGGAGAGAATGTTCATTTCTGCCCCTGAATTGAGGTGTGGGAGACAGCTGTGGGGCTCAGGCCAGCATCTGGAGACACCTGGGTTTGGAGTCAGCTACTAGGCATGCTGCATGTTCAAAATCAGAGTTATATGCTGTGCATGTGTGTTTATGTTGTGGTTTCCTGCTCAACCTCACTGTTACAAGGACCTGGGCAATTTAATGTGAATTAAAAAGCTTGAAACATTCCTGTAAATCTAAGTGTAACAGTTAAATACGTTATTCTACATTAGATGCTGCTACCAAGCTCATTCTTAAGAGGCTATACATCTCCCAAATAAAAACTGCTAAAAATAGTCTTTTCTCTCTGAATCTTAAATGAGCTATCAGATGGGGACAGGAAACATCCTTTGCATCTTGACTGAGTTTGGGTAACTAACATCCTACTCAGTTACTTCAAGGGTGACACTGGGGAAAAACTGAATCAACTGACCTTCTTTTGACTTGAACTGTTACCCAGGTTTTTTTGTATTTCTTTTTAAAGTGTCAAACTACAAATCCTGAAAGACTAGGTAAGACCAAAGATCTAGCATTCAGACAACATAATATGTCTAAAAAGAAGATAGGAATTTAATAAAATACCTACTACAGTTGACTGAGAACACATCAGTCATTAGTGTTATTTAAATTGCTTAAATATTTTTACTACAATTTTTTACTTTTGCCTTCAGGCTTCCAGTTGAACTCAAGTGCCATCAATGTAATTATTCTGATTAAGGCATAAATTCATCACTGTACTTAAATATACTGTAAAAATTAGGCAAAGGTTAAACTGTGATGTGTTTTGAGGAAGAAACTATATATATAGTGTATATATATAAATATATATATTTATTATATATATAGTATATATATATATATATATATATATATATTTCTTTGGATAAATATTTAGTTAGGTTACAACCAAACAGCCTCAAGTGGAGTACCTATCCTTCTTCATGGTGTTAAATCTGACATATTATTTACATAGTAGTGGTCTGTTCATTATATGAAAAAAAGAGTGAATTGCATCTTAGTAAATTTTAGGCACTACAGTTAAAACATCTGAACCAGATCTCAGTGGTAAGATATTTTGTCTGAAATAAGATTTGTATCATTTTGGGGGGGACTGGATCTAAAGTGTAGGTAGTATCTCTATCCAAAATATGAAACACTTTAGCAAACATTGTTGTGTCCTCTTTTTGAACCGCAAAGGTTGACTGCAATGTTCTCATTTTTCTCCTGCTCAACCTGTCTACAGTCATACATGCACAAACATGCATCCGTAATCGGACTGTTATTAAATATAGCCTCATAAAATTTCAGCATATATTTCTGTAATATACTTACATTTCTATACTTCATGTGTAGACTCTGTACCTATTTTACAAGGATGCTCTGTAATTTTACAATAAATTAACAAATAGACATAGCTTGAAGCACATACCAATGAAGAACATCTTGTATGCTGATCATGAGGTTCATTGTCATTAAGAGGTAGAAGACATACACAGGAGTAGACTGATTAAAACCAAATGATAAAATAGTTCTAAGACATAATTACTTTCAATTAATATTTCAAAATGAGCAGGAGTCAGTAGAGTTGACCACCTATTGGAAACAATCCTGTGTTCTAGAGATTAGCCATAATTAAATGTTTTTATTCAATGTTTTGTCCTACATGGCAGGAGTAAAACCAGACATTGCTTCTTATTTGACTTCAAATGATTTTATCTGCATTTAATCAGTAGCAACAGAATTTTTTAATTTGTGATTACAAATGGCCATTTTAAGTTACCTTGTTCGTTTGTTTTTTCAGACAGGATGAATACTTGCTATTCATTTTTATACAGTGTTTCAGAAAAGGAAAATAAAAACAGAAAAAAAAATATCAAATGGCATAATCTCTTGATTAAGCAATCAAACAAATGCATAGACTTTTTTTTTGGTCAGTTTAGAAATAGTTTATTAGTGTAGTTTGGGCAGTGAAACTTGGGGCACTTACCTAAGACAGTTCTTAGCTGATGGATTGTGGGAATGCTCTAAGTCCAACAAAAACAGTAATAAAAGAAATCCATCTGCAAAAAGGCAGATCTTATGGGAGTTCTTCTGACAGTTTATGTTGCTACTTTCTACTCCTTCTGTTAAAGAGGAGAGGAAACACCCAGAATCCTCTGACTTCAAAGAAGCATGATTTCAAGGGCAAAACAAAGCTAGGCTATCTATTCTCTTGTACTCTGTCATTTCATACCATATAACTGTTTACAGAGGAAAAAGCAGGATGGAGACGTTTAAATGTTTCAGTGCAGAACAAGGAAAATAGTAGCCAAGGAGTTAAGTTTATCTTATTCACTAAAATTGTAAGTTGACAGATGCATAATTCAGTAAAAATTTCCAAAGTGAAGGCTTTAACAAAGTATGATTTAACCACTGAGGAGGAATGAAGCAGGCACTGCCAGTGTTCCGCTCACAAAGTACTGCTCTGTTTTGAGCTTGACTGTTAATACAGAAATAAATAGCTCATGTTTCCTTTTGCTTCATTTTTCTTCACAGAAAAAAAAAAATGATTACGTACAATGTCAAGTTTAGATAGCAAGCCTGTGGAAAATCTGCATTTTGACCACATTCTCTGCTTTTGTCTTGTTGGAAATTTGTGGATGATTCTTCTTACTCTCCTATGAATTGTGGAGAAATAGTTTTCTTTCTTAGCAGGAGGCATTAAGCAGATGCATGTATATGAAGTAACTTCTCTTCCTGGCATCTAAACACATCTTAAGCATTGTCAGTCCTGTTTGTCCTTGTAGTGAGACACAGGCAACGTGTGAAAATACTCAGCACTGTTTCACGTGTAGTAACAAAGTGTCTGCTGAAGTGTCTGTAAAGAAACTTGGGTATGTGAGTTGGGCTAAGCCTGGTTCAGCCAGGTCTGTACTGCCCAATGGCATAGTGGATTAACTCCTCCAGCATGTACATCTTCCTCCACCATAAGAAGCTGCTGGTGCAGCCTTAAGAATAGACAAAGCAAACATGTATATACGTATTATGCTTGACTAAGACAGCAGTAATGCAAGTGGTTTGAAAAGTCTAGCACACTTGACTCTATCTAAATACTCTATCCCTGAAAGGTACAAACTATATTACATCTCTAGATAGGCAGGTAATTTGTACATAAAACCATGTTATCTCTGCTTACATAGAGAGTCTCCAAATCTTTAGTATGTTTAGTACAATTCTCAGAGGTTCAGGTATGTCTTAGATCCTAGAAATAATTTTGAAGTTGGAGACTGCCTTGACATTGAAAGCAATCTTTGACCCATAGATCAAAGTTGACTTTAAATTATCTCTTCCCTTGGCCTTAGCTTTTTCTGTATGTATGAATGTTAAAGGTCAAAGCTTCATTTGTGATCTTGATAAATTTCAGGTGATTCTGATGTTTATTCTGTGAAACACAGAACTCCTAAATTATATATCACTTTATTTCAAAGATTTACATGGTAATTGGCATTGTATAATGCATGAAAAATCAGTTCACTAAGCTAAAATCTAGTTTTCTGTACGGCTCTGGCGTGTTTTATTATTAAAATGATTTTAAATTGCCCTTTGTGTATTTATGTAACAGCTATAGTCACAGAGGCAATCTGAGCTTCTTCACTGAAAAGGAAATTACGTTGTTATGGCATCTTGCATGACTTTTTCCCCTTGTCCTCATCTTTTCTTGTGATGGCACTTTTCCAGTACAACAGAGGAGATACAGAGCAAGATTTGAACACTGCATAACACAGACTGTTGCTGTCCCTAAAGGCCATTCCCTTCAGAACTGAATATAGAAGAACTATACAATGTCTGAATATTGAATGCAGTGCATGAATGACTGACTTTTCTTCGTATTGGGAAATGAATGATGGAATACAGTGACATGGGTATAATTTCAGGATTCTGCAATGTTTTTTATATTTTAAAACTGAGTCACTGCTTAGAAAACATTAAAGAAGAACGGTCTTGAATATTGGTCAGTGACAGGAAGTAGTATTTCTGCACCTTTCCTTGTTACTGCTAACTGTGCTGGAAGGAAGAGGTACCTGACTCTTTTATGTCTGCCTTGCTGAATATCAAGCTTTCTCATGTTGTGGAGCAGTGTTACTGCCCTTCATTTGGAAATATTTTGAAATGCATTGCTGATATATCAGAGTGTTGGATCAAATATGAGATTCCAGGCTCAGGAAAGAATTCTCTAAAATTGAAATGCTTTCAGTGCTTTTTTTAAAAAATGTATTTATTTATTTATGCTTTCTTCCTACTCTTCACAAAGGATATCCCAAGTTATTTAGGAGTAGGAATTGAACTGAAAATTTGCAATCCTGGTAAAAGCTGTTGGATTTTCATAAGACTGAAATACAGGATCTTTGTATGCATGTGTAGAACAGTAAGTAGTTCCTCTGGCACCATTCCTAGGTATGAGCTTTGTTTTTCTAAACCTTTATGAAAATGAGACTTTTGAGCTGATTCCTAGGGCCTTTGAGGAGCACGCTGACTCACTTGTCCCAGCTTAGTGTAGCTAACGGTGTTCACGTAAATTCACTTCAGCAGTTCCAGCCAGAAGGATATGCTGGACTAACAGTTTAGGAAAAGGTTCACAACTTTCCCATTTTTACCTCTACAGATAGCTGTAAGAGAAAAGAAATTTTATCTCTGAATCAATGGCTGAAATTACTTGTTTCTGAGCTCAAATGGCAGAAGCTGATGCATATCCGCACTATTTAACATTCAACTGTAATTCGGAGCCCCAGGTCCTGCACCAGGGCCCTAAGTGTATAGCTTTTGGGTATAGCTTTTTCAGACCAAAGAATCTTCAACTATATTTCAGGTTAGGAGAGTGATGCCTTGTTGAATGACATGAAAGACACAATAGGAAGGCATGCAGAGTGTGGCAAGGTGCCAGGGTGCTGTTAGAGGACTGTACACAAGAGCCAATCCTGATGCATGCTTGTCCAGTGTGGATAGTGAGAACTGGTATCCCATTCACTGACCTCCCATTCACTGGAGCACATTCTTCTGTGAATAATAGCCAGGCACCATTCAGCGGAGAGAGAAGTTACTTCAAACATGCATGTGATTAATAAATGTGTTAGTAATTAAACTGTAAGGATGATCTGTCCCCCAGCATTCAGCATGTTTCTGATTTACCCATCACCTGCCTTTGTGCTGCAGCATCTTCTTTTGATGGTAGCTGCTTTCTCAGATGTCTGTCACTGTGTGCCACAGCTCATTCTGGGTTTCACAGTGCCCTGCTGATAGCTAGTCTTGGCTGCTGCATGCCAAGGGGAAGGGTGGAGTTTCCTTATTTGGAAACCAGAAGGCAAAGGTAGAAGGCAAGGTGTTAGGCTCACTCCTTGCCATGTGGGCAGAGGTATGCCCCTAGAATTAACAACTTAAAGAAACATCCAAGCCCCAAAAGTGTAAATCCTGTCACTGTTAATAAGCATGAACCTGCGTAGACTTCTGTCTTGCCAAAAGCTTTCTGTCTTACTCTGTCAACCCCTTGGGTTTATGTTCTATTATGAGTGTTAGTCCTCTTGCTTTGCTTTTGTGTGTTTTATTTTCCCAGGAAAGGAAAAACACAGGAACAGAATCTCCTAGATTAATCTGAGTCATTACTCCAAGGTGTTCATACTGAACAATGTTGCATTATTCTGTCTGACAGATAAATGACACACCTGTGACACACAGACAGACAACTCCTTGATATCTTCCACATTGTCATATTGTTTATAACATCAGCAAATCACTATGAACTGCTAATACCTGGGTTACTCAAAGCATTCAAGTTCCACAAATCAGCAGTTTTATTTTCCAGATTTATACTGGATGCTTTGTGCTCCACAGTGTGCTAGAGAAGTCTTGGCAGGATAAATCACTTCTTCCATTTCCTCTAATAATTATTAAAATTAAAATATTGAAAAAATCCACTTCAAAATTCATTCCTGGATTTTTAACATGTGCCCATGTTTCTCTCTCGTTTGTTCAAATCATTGCTTTGTTTTTCTAGAGCAGCAAATGGGCATGGTTCAGTGTTCCCCTGTCAACTTGTACGCCACTGAGAAGTGACCCTCCCAGGGATGCATTCTTGTGGGAAGCCCCTTCCTGAGACCACGGCATGCAGTCTGGTGTATTGTCATCACTGATTAGCTGCAGGTGGATATTTCTTTAAAAAAGAAAACTCTCAACGGGGCTCATTTACTGAATTGTTGATTGTTTTGAACATTGCAATTTCTCTACCATTTCATTCCAAAAAAAAGAAAAGTCAGTTTAAACGTACTTTCTGATTGTCCAAGAACTGTAAAGGAAATTACGCTTGAACAACATTCTGTCTTTTTCAACACAAAGTATGCTGTTGTTGCACTTCTTGTCCTCTCCAGGCAAGGGTTTGTCTTCAGTGTCTGGGGAATTTTCTGTGAAGAATGTTTTTGGACTGAGTGAGCACAGTCTTTGCTTCTGAAGTCCCAGGATGCCTGTCATTTCCTGCTAACATAAGCCTCTGTACCTCTCTAAAGATTAAAATGATATTCATGCAATATGAGAAACTCTAAAGAAATAAAAAAGCATCCTAACAATGTTTATTGATAATTAGTAAAAAAAAATATATTTTCTGGAGTTGTATACTTTATTTTTATCAGAATGAGGATTTTTCCCTAGAAATAATTTTCTCTATTACAAGAAAATCAGCAACTACAGCAGCAGTAGCAGTAAGAAGTCTTGAGAGTAAACAGTGGAGGATATTCCATAAAATATATTCTTGGTTGAAGAGTTCCCTTTCACTTGATATCTTCAAAAACAGTACCTAAATGAGTAATTTTAAGTATTCTTTTTTTTTTTTTTTTTTTTTTCTGTTTGTCTCACATTTCCGTGCTAAATTTTGTTGTACAATTACTAAACTCAAAGTGATGTTTGACTGGCTGTATGTCCACACAAAAAAGTTTCCACTGTCTGACATACTTGATTAAAAATGGTCCAAATGTAGAGTTACATAATCCAGAAGGTTACTGGAGTTTTGGTTAACTTGGTAAATCAAGAACATGGCAGTAGTAACTCCTGTCTAGCCTGATGAAAAGTTGCAATTTTTGAAGTAAACTCTGGCTATTGTGTACACTACTCTTAAATTAATTGCCCAGCACTTACATCTTGTAGTTAGCAAAACCTTGTGAAAATCTTTGTCTGAGAGACCCAGTAAAGTGAGACAGTAATAGATTAAACAATTAAATGAAACTTGTGAAATTTACTACAGTTAAGTGAACAGGAAAGAATGATGAGGAGAAGCCAGAAGCAGAACTGTATAGTTTTGGCTTTGCCAAAATTTGTCATTCCTAAAACATTTCTCAGTGTAGTTTTATCAGCACTGGAGTTGTTTTGAGGAAATGTTCAGATTAAAACAAACAAACAAACAAACAAAAAAAAAAAAAAATGGAAGAATACACAGAAAGTCAGTGAAGATTGCACTGAAAGGAAGTGTGAGAACCTGAAAGATTTTAATGCCTGAAATTTTCATGGGAAGAAATTAAGAGTGTTGAATATGAAGCTACTGTACATATAAAAACTGCTTACAAAGTTGTAGTTTTCTGCTTTTCAGGAAAAAGAAAAATTAAAGATTAAGAAGGCATTAAAGCCTTTGGAGCAAGAAGATAGTGACTTCCAATCTTGATGAATTTGAAGAGACCAGATTACTTTGGTTTTAGGTTCCTAGTTCATGTATGTTGGACTACATTTTAGCTGGCGTTTTTCATATGCCAGACATTGTCAAACAATGACCTTGGCCTTTAAAGGGCTCAGAATTTCAACTGTTGAAAGATAGGTGCAAATAACTACTGAAAGAAGTCAGTGTTGGCTGCACAGCAGCCTGTGGGTATAGGCTGAACCACATAATGTCCAGAGGTCTGTTAATCATTCTGTTATTCTGTGAACTGGAAGAAACAATGGCACTGTATTTTTGGAGTTCTCTATTAATTCAATGTTTTATGATCCATTTCCTATAAAAAAATAAACAAACCATTTTTGTGAAGTAGGCTAGTTATTAGAACAATGCTCTTACTGGTTACAGATAGCAATTTTATGTGTAAACCCTATTGTCAATCTGTTTTCTTTGTTGTTAATCTACTACCATATTTTATTAAAAAAATGCATTGCATAGATCTAAAATTCTTCCGAAATACTTTGGCATCTTCGGATGCTTCCATGCTTTTTCTTAAAATTTACCATATAACTGTTTAACTGCAAATAGTTTTTTGATTGCAAATTTTTTATCACTAGTGTGCTTCTTTTGTATAGATGTAACTGGTCATGCTTGATTTCTGTTCTTTGTTTTAGTAAGTAGATATCAAATGGGAAGGATCTGGTACATCTGAAGGAAGAGTCATCATGCAGGGAGACAGGAAAATCTGCAAATAATGCAAATGCATCATATCTAAAAAAGAATAATATGAAGTCCTATCTCTGGGAAGGCATAATTCCAAGCAACAGTATTGTCTCGGGACTCAGTGCACGGAAAATAGGTCTGCTGGAAAAGACCTTAGGGGTTCCTGAAAGAGTGCAAGCTGAACATAAATCAGCTGTGTGACCTTGCAGCGATGAAAGCTAACTGCATGTTCAGCTGTGTGTATCACTTAGCCTATGGCCAGCAGATGAAAAAATGTGATTATTTAGGACACGCATGCAACAGAAGGTCTGGTTTTGTTTCTCCCTATGTTTGAGAGAGATAAAAATTGGACAGGGTGCAGCAGAGGGCCACCAAGGTGGCTGGAGAACGAGATATATGGGGAAAGGCTGAGAACACTGTGACTGTTAAGTCTAGAAAAGTGAGTGCTCAGGGTGATCTAATCACACTGTATTTATTAAAAGTAGCTACGAAGATGGAGAAGACAATTGCCGTATATGGATGCATAGAACAAGAGGCAATAGGCACAAGTTTCTTCAGGAGAAATTCAGCCTGGATACATAAAGCAAATTCTTCAAGGTGACTATGATTAAATTATTGAATAAGTTGCTCAGAGAAGTGGAGGAATCTTCTTCATTAGAATCATTTGATACTTGGCTTGACAAAGCCACAGGTAGCTTAATGTAGTAGCCTGCTTTTAATGAACGACCTGACCAAGTGCTCTTCAGAGGTCTCCAAGTGCTGTGGGCTGTTCTGTGATAGTGGGGCTCAAAGTAAAGCTCAGGCATAAAAAGGAGAGTTTGAAGATTTCTCTTGAGTTTGTATCTCCCAGAGAATGTATCAGACAATCAAGAGTAATGACTATTTAAAATGCTTGGAAACTTTTCCAGTCTGAATTACACAGGCCTTCCCTAAGGCACCAGTCCTGAAGAAAATGATATTATGTTTATTGGGTAATTTTCTCTGTCACACTGGCATAAAATAATTGCTTTCACATTCTCTGGTTGCAAAAGGTTCAGTAGCATTATTGCCTGGCTCATTTATTTCATGCTGTACTAATTCTTTGGAAATGACAACAGGACCACATCCTCAATATGTACAGTATGTAAAATATTTCTTTTCCATACAATGGGTGATATACCAGGAGAGTTTCCTTAGTTAGACTGCCTTTATCACAATCACTGATCCAGCATAACTGCATGAGAGTTTGAGGCCTCAGTTATTTTGAATGTAGATCACTACTTGCCCAGTTTAGTCAACTCTGTTAATTGTCTAGTGAGTAATTGAGGAAAAATGTCCCCTTCTGTATCAAGCAAGACATGATACATCCCATGTGAGTCCAAATAAAAAACACGAACCAAACTACCAAACCAGTGCTTTTTGATTCTTTTTATGTATTCTGATGTCTACAGATTTGAAAATGTGTCTACAATTTGAGAAATTAAGAGAAAATGTAAGACAAAACTCAGTGATAACCGGTGATATTTAACAATGTTTGTTAGTAATTGTTATGCCATTTTTTGGCTGGGTAAGACTTTCATAAATATATCACAGGGTCAGTAAAAAATTATTCTATAAATATTTTCCAATTGTAAGCAAATCAAGAATTCATTTAAATCAGGCATTTTCAGAGAGGCAACTATGTTATTTTAGGAAAAATAATTAAAAAAACAACAGTCTGACTTGAAAAATCATATCAAAATCTCTTTCGTGTAGCAAGGCTCTTTTCCTATCCTATCGAAGAGTAAATATTTTGGAAAGAAGCCTATGTTTTCCATGTCAAAATTGCCTTTTTTGTTTGCTTGTTTTCTAATTTCAGTTTTTTCCTTTTGCCATCAATTCTACTTCTCAACTTTTATTCCAAATTAAAAAAACTGAAAAATAAGAAGGAAGAAATAAGAAAATCACATCCGATCTGATCACATCCTTAACCAATGGAAACATTGAAACTTCTCTGTTTTTCCTTGCTTTTACATTTAAAAGAACTTTTATATTTTTTAAGAAACTCAATAACAAAAAAGAGATGAAGAGATCCGTCCTGCTGAACACCTCTGTCAGCAACTGCATGCACTTATAAAGGCTGTATTGGACACCAAAGGGGAAGCAAGAGAGACAACTGATGTGTTCAAGAGCAGGTCTGCAACTGAGAAAGAACAAGTCAGAGAAATCTACAAACCTAGCAGATGGACATGGACAGATGCCGAGTTCCATCCCCAAAAGAAAGACCCCTTAGCAGCTATGGGCTTGGGTTGAGAGTCTGGAGAGCAGGTTCATGAAAAAGACCCTGGAGTACTGCTGGCAGCAGTGTGCCTTCAAAGCAAGGGCAGCCAGTGGCATCCTCAACTAGTTTAGCTATAGCACTGAGGTTGTGCAGTCTCTGTCCTTAGGGGTCTTTCAAGAAAAAAACTCCAAGCAGTCTACTCTGATCTCATACCTAACCACTTTGAACACAAGGATGGACTATAGATGTCCTTAGGTCTCTTTCCATCTGAATCATCCTCTAATTTCGAGATTTACAGAGAAAAGCAGCCATGTTAAAACATGGAAAACAGAGAGAGAGAAGTGAGTTTAAAACATGAACATATTCCCTTGAGTTACAAAAGAAATATAATTTCTTTTTGGCTGTAAACTTAAACATATGTACATATATGCTAATAAAAATAAAGCAAAATTTTCCATTACAACATTGTGCTTTAAATGAAAACAGTTCGTGAAGAGAAAAAAGAAATTGCTGTTCACTTCTAATTACTAAACTAATGAAAAACCTATTCACTGCTAGTCTTGTAGTTAGACTAATCTTATATGATCATGAATAATCAGTTACAGCATCCGACTTTCACAATTTGCTGCCTTTCCATGTTCTTGCTGTGCTCCTTTTCTTAAAACTGTGAATAGCTTCCTTGAGGATTTATACTGCACTACATGGATCTACGCCAAATTAAAATCTGAACTTTTGAATCTTTTTGAGAGCAGTTGTATTTGTAAAAATCATTACTGTGTTTTAAAGTGGCTAAATATTATTAGCAGTGTAACTAACCCCATCTTTTTAAAAATAAACATCATAGAGTGAAGTGTATGTTCTTCTCTTATTTTGTTTTGTTTTGCTTAGTTTAGTTTTGCTTTGCTTTGTTTTGTTTATTTGCTTCTTTGAATGATATTATTCACCTACCCAGTGGAAAATGATGACATTTCATAGCCAACTTTTGAAAAACATCAAAAAATCAAATGAAACAAAAGGTAAAGAAAACAGACTCATTTAAACAATTCACTTGAGCTCATTCCACTGTAGAATGCATCAAGTATTGGAAAGTTACACAGATGGCATTGAAATTATATCTTGATGATATCAAGATATCATTTCACACACTTCTCACAACTTTTTTTTAGATATTTCAAGATTTATTTACTTTTTTAATAGAACGTGATTTCTATGGAAACTTCCATTACCAAGTCATTCACAAGCATATTATTTCATTCTTATAAGAAAAGCATGATATTCCAATGACAATTACCAGAATATGTGATATTCCTTTCAGTTTCTGTGGGCATTTCACACAGGTTTCTATAGATATATGAGCTCTTTCTTTCTTCTTTCATGTGAAAATGCCTTCCTCTACTTTCTGTCATTTGCAAACAAAACTCTCCTAAAATCACTACATACACTCAAAAGCTAGAGAAAATGGAATAAAAATGAATTTCCTGGTAGATTTCCTTAGATGAGTGATTTCATATTGTTACAATTTGTCATAGGAAGTCTTAGCATAAGATTTCAGAGGATGATATAAAATAATACTGGATTACAGAATCACAGAATCACAGAATTGTAGGGGTTGGAAGAGACCTCCAGAGATCATCGAGTCCAATCCCCCTGCCAAAGCAGGTTCCCTACAGCAGGTCGCACAGGTAGGCATCCAGGCAGGTCTTGAACACCTCCAGAGAAGGAGACTCCACCACCTCCCTGGGCAGCCTGTTCCAGTGCTCCGTCACCTCACTGTAAAGAAGTTCTTGCGCACATTTGTGCAGAACTTCCTATGCTGCAGTTTCCTGCCATT